AAATGACTCAGTCTAGATTCTAACTGGTCAGTTTTTGCTTTCAGATTCTTTCTACTAACATTGCTGAGACGAGCATCACCATCAACGATGTGGTCTTCGTTATTGATTCAGGAAAGGTCAAAGAGGTACAGACTCTGATGAAGAGTTGGATTCACCATACAAGAGAGTGGATTTTACACATATTTGGTAAAGAACTAATAAAAGTAATTATTTTTTCTTTTGTAGAAGTCCTTTGACACCCTCAGTCATGTGTCCATGTTAAAGACGATTTGGATCTCAAAAGCCAGTGCACTGCAAAGGCAGGGAAGGTAACATCAACAATGTCTTCATCCTGTTTTTTTTTTTTTTTAAATCTCCAGTTACATTTTTATCTCAGCTGAAGTGATATCAATTTTTACCCACTGGTATGAGTCTAAGTTAAAATCAAGTCGATGTATGACGTGTGCACAGAGCTGGGCGCTGCAGACCAGGGATTTGCTTCCACCTTTTCAGTCGACTCAGGTTCAACAACATGCTCGAATTCCAGGTTCCGCAGCTGCTGCGGATGCCACTGCAGGTAAAGACACACACACTTTTTTTTTTTTTTTTTAAACCATAACTTTACATTATATAGACATGAGAATGATATCAGTATCATTATGTTAGCCTCCTCAAGGGTGATGTCCTGGCCCAGCCTGCACCACACAATAAGAAGACAGAATAGCGGCTGTTGTGTATACTTTGTATATTTTGAGGATTCCAGTGGATTAACTTGTGTCCTGTTGAGCACCAGCAGTGCTAAGTAAACATGCATCAGATTTACTAATACCCTGTAACTGTGATGATTTGTCATGTTGTGTGTGTGTAAGGAACTGTGTCTGCAGACCAAGCTGCTGGCTCCCAGCTCCTGCTCAGTAGCTGAGTTTCTGTCCAAAGCTCCACAGCCTCCTCCTGCTCATGCTGTCAGGAATGCAGTGCACAGGCTTAAGGTAACCCATCAAATTCTGTTTTCTGACACGAGCCGCTACACACTTACGCTTGACTACATGTCTACATACAGTATTCCAGCAGTAAGTCACCTTTGTGCTCAGACAATAGATGCTATGGACCAGTATGAAGGCCTGACTGATCTGGGCTACCACCTGGCTGATCTACCAGTAGAGCCCCACCTGGGCAAGATGGTCCTCTGCGCCGTGGTGCTCAAATGCCTTGACCCCATTCTAACTATTGCCTGTACACTGGCCTATCGTGACCCATTCGTGCTTCCTGCCCAGGGCTCTCAAAAACGAGTTGCTCTGCTCTGCCGCAGGCGTTTCTCATCCAGCTCCTTCAGTGACCACATGGCCCTACTGAGAGCCTTCCAGGTAGGTGGAGTCCCAAAAACCAAAACAAGATGTGCAAATGAAAAACTGGACCTTTTTCACCATCTGTTTAAAAACATTCTCATCAAGTGTGTTGTTATCAGTGTGATGTGTGACATTTTATCCAGCTGAGGTCATATTTCCTCGCCATAACTGGAGCATGTTTTCCTTCATCTTTGTCATGTGGGACCTCAGGCGTGGCAGAAAGCCCGCAGTGAAGGCTGGGAGAGAGCCTTCTGTGAGAAGAACTTTCTGTCCCAGGCCACCATGGACATGATACTAGGCATGAGGACACAGCTGCTGGGACATCTTCGTGCTTTAGGTCAGCTTCACTTTTTATTTCCTTTATATTCTGCTCTCACTTCAGAAGTGTGTGGTACAGCCCAGCATCACCAAGCTGCCTGTTATTCTTTGAAAATTGTCATTATCACTTTGCTTTAACAAAGCCCAACCACTGCTCACAATAATCCTAATCTAAAAAATTGGAAATGTATAAAAATCAGTTTGACAGACCTAGATAACCACTTGATATTATTAACTGTAATAGTTGTGGTTAGGGGAATGAATAAATAACATACTGAAATGGCCTGTTTGTCCTCCAGGTTTTGTGCGGGCTCGTGGAGGCAGTGACATCCGTGACGTGAACCTGAACTCTGAGAACTGGGCTGTGGTGAAGGCAGCCCTGGTGGCTGGCATGTATCCAAACCTGGTCCATGTCAACAAGGAGACCTCCCTGTTCTCTAGTAACAGGGAGAAGAAGGTCCACTTTCATCCCACTTCTGCATTGAACGAGATCAAGGAGGTAGGAAAACAAATCATGTCATCAATATGTAACTTTGTCTTTATCACTAGAAGGATCTTAACTTGCCTTCTACCTACTGAGCATTGCCCAGCGGGATCAGACCTGTGTGTTTATTGTTGCACTGTGTCACGGACAAACTGCTCATGGTAATTCTTTACACATAAATAAGACACAAGATTTACTGGATGTTAGATGTATTGTCAATACAGGTGAAGGACAGCAAGTACATCCTCTTTCACAGCAAAGCTTCACCAAACTTTAACATGTATAGGAAACTCTTTCCTGCTGGCTAACAGATGTCATAATGTAATACAACTACTGAATATGAAATGTGATTAACATATGGAAACATACAGACAAGAGGTGAGTGAATACAAAGGAAAAAAGTAGTACAAAAGTAATATATTAATAATGACAAACTATACATATATAACTAGATTTACTTTCATAACTATCTGTCTCACTGGGTTGTTCGCTTATTTAGTGAGCCAGAAAAGAGAGAACCAAATGTTCACAAGGACCCGCTTCAGCCACTGACATCACTCCTGTTTGCTGTTTAGAACAGCTCAGCCAAATTGGCCCAGGACCTTCCCACAGACTGGTTAATCTACGATGAGATGAGCCGTGGCCACAGGATGGCCAGTGTCCGCTGCTGCTCCATGGTGACTCCCCTAACTTTGGCCATATTTGGAGGCTGTGCCAAGCAGCCCTACTCTGTCCTGCAGGAACCTGCTTTACCGAAAGCAACTGGTAAAGAAGTAATACAAAATAAAACTGGATGGATTAATTTGTCAGAATGAACCAAGCTACAGTAGTTATGTCTCTCAACCTTGAACCCTTGTCCACAGTGACATATTACGACTATTGGCCATGAGTTTTGCATGATTCCTAATAGGAATGCAGTTTTTAAGCACTTCCCTTAAGTAGTTATTCATTCATTCATTCATTCATTCATTCATTCATTCATAGTTATAGTTAATAATTTCTTAATATCTTTGTTAATACAGTGTTTGTTTTTTTTTACAACTCACGTGACCTATGTTCACTGCAACATCAGAGTAAATGAGGGATTTAAAGAACAGAATAATTAAATGTCAAGTTACTAGAATTATAAAACAAAACCACAAAATAATGACTTCATTTAAAATGGTCCTGTATTAAACACAGGAAACTGTGCTGCACAACTTCACTGCAGAACATAACATTTGATCAGACTGCACATGTTGGATATACTGTATTGTCACGTCCCTGCTCTGAAGCCATGACAGACAGAGAGAAAGGTGCAGAATAAAAGCAAATAAGCAACTTATTTATTTTAACAAAACAAAGTTATAACAAAAATGCAATGAGGTGTGATCATAAATATGGTCAGTAGTGAAAGAGTGCATGGATGAGTGAAAGCCAAGACACAAAACGGGTAAAGGAGCCAGGGGGCCCATCACAGTACAGTATCTAACAGTTAAAACAAAACTTCACTGTTCCTTTATTAAAGGAATTGTAGCTTTCAACAGTGAATAACCAGTAATGATATTGAATAAGCATGAAACAGGTTACCCTCGTCTCCCCACAGCCGACTCCAGTGTTACTGGATGTATATAGGATTAGTTGCATTGCTAATTATGTTGCAAGCATGTTTAATTAAAGAACTGCTTGTCCAGAATGTTAACACTTACAGCAGTAGTCTCTGCTGTCTGACCCCCAGCTGCTGCCCTGTGTTAACCGAGCAGCTGCTCTGCTTCTGTTAAACACGCTAGTTTGGCATCAACATGAGCCTCAGATAGCTAGCAAGACCGGACAGCCGGCAAACTCAACTTTGTGTTTGTTGTGTTACCTTTTTTATTTGAATGCAGTAAGTGTTTCACATAGCGCTCTTTCCTGATGATTGTTTGAGTTGATGCCTGTGCAGATTTAGTCTTTGACTTTACGCTATTCCTTCAGACATTCCACTGGATGACATGAGTGACAGTGAGACAGAGGACCTAGCTGAGATAAGGGTAGATGACTGGCTCTTCTTCGAGTTGGAGAGAGAGGTGAGGTAACACTGCTGTCAGTCTCTTTTATGTACTGTAAATACTGTATGTGTGTGTGTGTGTGTGTGTGAGAGACGTGATGGCTAACTAGTGTGAGGATAAGTGTGGTGTTGTTTTTTTTTTTTACCTGAAAAAAGTCTCCAAAGTGCTGTCATAATCTGAACTTTTACTCTACCAGCCCAAAACTTGCCTTAGATGTTGTCATATGCCTCTTCTCTCACAACCTTGCAAGTCCCAGAGCTCTCTCCATTGCTCCACCAATTTCAGTTCTTCTGACCTTGTCCTTTTCAGTAGTTTAATCGTGTAGGCCCTAACTGGAAGCAGCAGAATGGGTATTTTCTTCAGCTATCTCTCCCTGCTCTCTTGCTCATGCATTTATGTTCATCTTGCCTTATTATTTTGTACTAAATCTTTTCTTATATGCAGGGTTTATCTGACAATGTGTATCTTGTTGTCAGGCTGCAGGACTGGTGTTTGAACTGAGGCAGAAGTGGCAAAACTTGTTCATCAGGAGGATCCGTTGTCCTTCAAAATCCTGGTCTCAACAAGACGAGGCCATTGTCCGCACCCTGGTTTCTGTAAGTCCAGTTAGTAGAGGATCCGTTGTCCTTCAAAACCCCGGTCTCAACACGAAGAGGCCATTGTCCACACCCTGGTTTCTGTAAGTCCAGTTAGTTTTTCTTTACTTGATTTCACAGGAAGTAATAACAACATTATAAATGAAACACCAGTGCAAGATGTCAAAGGGTAGGGTGAGCAACTTCAGAAAGGTTGTATGTTGTAAATTGTATGCATCTTGTTCACCAGCTTGGAGTGTGTCACTGCTGTGGTTTGTGTGCCCTGCCTTGTTTCATCCATGCCAACTAGGCGCAGTACTTCCATGACGTTAAATTAGCACTTGCTTAATGTGTACGCTGCCATTCACGGCCACTCTGGGAGTGATCTTGGTGGTTGGATATCTGTATTTGTCTTTAATGAATTGATATGTGCATCTGATTTTTACAATATGGACACCAGGATGCAGGCTAATGAGTGGAGCTCAATCTGACTTTCTTCAGGTGTTTGCAGCAGAGGAGCAGGAAGCAGGTCTGCAGCAGCCCACAGGTATTGGCCAGCGGCCCCGGCCTATGCCATCAGAGGAGGGGCCCCAGGCCTTCGTGAATAACCCCAGCACCACCTATGACAAGTATAAAGCTGTTTCTAAACATATAAATTGCAGTGTAATGTATTGTGATGTTTAACAGATTCTCCTACTTTGTGACTGGCCTGCAGTTCAGATCCACATCAAAGGACAAAAAGAGCATGTCTCCTCTTTTAGCCTCTGGTTGTACTGTGTCATTCACCTTTAATGACAGCAGCTTCAGTACTTACTTTGTAGTGTGGGTGACGGACGGAGTACGTTAATGATCCGACAGGGAAAATGCAGAGTCACAGCAGTCACTTCACATAAATGACCAAAACAAATGAGGCAAGTCAGAAACAAGTACAATTAAAAGATGAGACTCTACACAATAGCTACTGTAAAGCAATTAATTCATAAAAGAGAATACAATAAAAATTGATAATACAGATTAGAAAAACAGGACTATAACATTAATGGTATAGTCCATGATTTTGGTGACAGACTGTTTGTATTTACATCAGCACCTAAACAAATCCTCAGCTCCCTTCTGTTAGGGATGAGTAACATGACAATGATACTAGCGACCGGGGCAAGAGCCAATACTAAAGGAGACATGGCAGAACTCAGTGCGTTGAACATGGCAAACAATTTGCCTATCTGTCCAGTAGGAAAAGAACGACCTCTATGTCTGTCTCACACCGTGCAAGTCCCAGAGCTCTCTCCATTGCTCCATCAATTTCAGTTCTTCTGACCTTGTCCTTTTCAGTAGTTTAACCATGTAGACCTAACTGGAAGCAGCAGAATGGTTTTTTTTTTTCCAGCTATCTCTCCCTCTTGTCTGCGCAGTGGTATTGTGACGTCTGAGCTCTAGCTACCTGGCCCTTTCATTCCTCCCTCCCCCCCCTTGTGCTGATTGGCTGGAATTAACCAGCCTGAGTCAGATCCTTATTGCCGGTTTACTGTTCAAGGACTAGATACAAACACACAAGGTATTCTGAGCATGTGCACACCAGATGGACAGCGAGAGTAACGGGAGGAAGATTTGGTGGCATTTGACATAAATTAGAATCATGGATTATTCCTTTAATTCTAATATGTAGTAAACATGGAGCATGCGTGGTAGTGTTTAGGAGTTGAGGAGTCATGTTGTATTTTCATGTTCCACTTTATACTCATACTGCCACACCATTGTACCACTTCCCCTTAGGCCTTTTAGGACACCAGAAACCTCCGGCTTACTTCAGATAAAATCCCACAGCAGAAATGAAGCCTCACTGCCCATGAGCCAGCCCTCTGGAGACCCACATTCCTCCAGTAATTCTTGTCCTGAGACCTCAGACAGCACCTCTGACATCCCCTCTCCCTCCTCCTCAGGAAAGGTATTGCGCTGTTGATGTGAGACAGTCAGCATATATTGACACAGCCACTCTTCATCCATGGTTATTGCACAGCTAATCCTCCTAATTTTGTGATCCACTGTGATTTTCAAATTATCCTGGTGCAGGATAATAAGTGAGACAGTCCTAGGGTCTCATTTATCAAAAATTATACTTTAAGCAGCTTACTATTTTTTGAGTGATCAATCAATCGGCAGATTATGGAATTTTCCCAGAGGCGGCTAAAACATACAGCTGTAGCTCTTTTATTATTATTGTTCTATTTGATTTCCAGCATGTTGTGACTGAAACAGCCAGCAATACCTCTAATCAAAGGTCATTAAACATAAACGTCTTAACTGCGTACACCCTTCTTGTGAGAAGTGTGCAATTGCAGAGCCACAGTAGTTTGCGTAACCTCTATTCTTAATGCAGTAGCTTTCATTTCACGTTCTTTTATGCTCCCCTGTTTTGGGCTGAGCTTTAGTAAAGATTAACATATAAAATTTTTCTTGGTGCTGTCTCATCAAATAACATAAATTCAATGAAAGGGTCTTTTTTGTCAGTTAACGATATATTTTTTTTCTCTTGTTCATAGGTTTCAAAACCAGAGATCCCTCAACCCGCCTCTTCATCAATCCGATACTTTATTATGAAGAGCAGTAACATCAGGAACATAGAAATTTCTCAGCAGAAAGGTATCTGGTCCACCACACCAAGCAATGAGACCAAACTCACTAAGGCCTACCTGGAGAATAGCCTCATCATCCTCATCTTCTCTGTTCAGGGCTCTGGACACTTCCAGGTACCACTGAAAGATGAACCAACAGATTCTAAAAAAAGTAATCAAAGATTAATATATTTAAGTATCTTCAAAAACAAAATTGATGTATTTGATCTTTTTCACAGGGCTATGCTCGCATGGCATCCGCCATCAGTCAGGAGAACTGCCAGGACTGGGGCTTCATGGGCCTGGGTGGAGTTTTCAGGCTAGAGTGGATCCACAAGGAGAGTCTTCCCTTCCACTGCACCCAACACATCCTAAACGCATGGAACGACAACAAGAAGGTCCAGATCAGCAGGGATGGACAGGTGAGAGGACAGTGCAAACATACTGTAGCTTACAAGCAGTTTGATTCTGACGCACGCACGTACACACACACGCGCACACACACACGCGCACACACAGAATGAATGGTCACAGTGGCATCCTGCGCACACTACATTATGGAACACAGTCAACAGTTAATCAGAAACGAAATTCAGGGAAACAGACACGTCTGCTCTTTTCATTTGGCTTCATTATTTCATTGGAAGCTTCCTGTTAATAAATGAACCAGTTTATTGTTCAAAAGTCTTTCGACAACTGCTCCAAGCATTGCATTCAGTCCCATACATCAGGAACATCTCATTCAGTTACAACTGTCATGTATCGCAGACCAGTCGCATTCTTGGGGTGCCCGGTGTTCTTGGCAAACGTGACTATCCTCCACATACGTGAAGAACTTTGTCCCACAGTGGTGGTATAACAGTATGTCCCCCACAGTGGATGGAGACTCCCTGTACCTCTACATTTATTTCTTGATTTAATATGTAACCACGTCTCACTGTGTGTTTCACAATTGATTTTTGAAGCTTTTCACTTTTATAGACAGTTTGTCCACAAAATACACAGCCTGCCCTGCAATATCCTTATGTCAAGTGCTGCCAGAGCCTGTAAATCATTCACTGTCAGGGGCCAACAGTTGTGAGTGCATACCAAATGGTAGGCACCACAGTCTGAGTGTGCCTGGAAAGCCCAACATCTCTGTGTTCCTAGTATCATCCACTGCCTGCTGTCTCACTCACTGGGCCTGCTCTTTATCTCTGAGAGTTGCCTCAAACCACCTACCTAAACTATGAACTAGCTTCTCTAACCCTGCAGGAAGTGCCTCATCTACAGAATATTAAACCTCTTTACTGCTAGAACTCGCTTTGGAGTAGAAATACTGCTTATTTCTTCTGAAAATCACAATTGAACATGTATCAGTTTGTTTACTGAGTTGTTGTCATGCGTCACTGTGACTGGCTCACAGCTATGAAAGGAGCAATGCGATGGTGTCGGATTTTGTCTGATGGCCGTAGTTTCTGCTCCATTTAAACTCGGCAGGCAAACCGGCACAGGCCATTTGCACTGGCCTGAACTGGTAACTTCTGAGGCAAATTAACAAAATAACATGTGGAGTGAGAGAATGAGTGTGTTTTGAAGTGCTTACCTGTCTTTTTTTTTTTTTTTTTTTTTTTTTTTTTTTTTTTTTTTGGGGTTGGG